AACAACAACAAGAAGAACAATGACAGCTCTAAATGCCAATAACAACAGCAATACGACATAGTAACTCACTATTACCATTAATTGCAGGCATGGCACAGGCAGCAGAACCAAAGTTTTCATAATTGCGTAAAAGTCACAAGAAACCAAAATTTTATCATGCAAAACTTCGTTTAACAGGCCAACCATCATGGGTGATTCAGTCAGGATATCTAAATTATTCAGCATGCAAAATGTCGCAAGGGGGAAAAAACCATCATTGGATTGAAAGTTGAGATAACCGGCCAGAAAACAATTGGCTAAAGACATTACCCAAAGTAAATGAACTAAATATCTACCCTCAAACTGGCGAAGAAAAGATGAGTACAGTCCAAAATTGAGACTTCATTAGTCCAGAACATTACCCAAAGTAAGGTAAAACAAAAAAAAAAATTAACTTTTCTATGAATAACAGACAAAAAGAACCTGCTATCCATTTTTAGCATCATATGAAAGACAGAAAGGCTTTCTATACTGAGTCTTGTAAAAGTTCTAGTGCAATCCAGTAAAGAAATACAACGGGTCAACCAGCCAGCTTAACCAACTGCTCAAGTAGCTAACCAAGAAACATGATATATCAATGGTTTCCGTGTAATGGCATGAAGAAGAGAAGAAAGTGAATACGACCATACCTGACTAGGAATTTGTTTCCCAAAGAAAACTGATGAAGGTGGAAAATCTGGTTGATACAACGGCAACGAGTGAATGTAGATAGAGTAAAGCCCTTCATTTCCATTGAAAAACTTCTCCCACAATGGGGCCATTGGCAATGGTCCTCTTGTCAAGAACATGAATGCAATTTTAGGAACTCTCTTGAATGGGTAGGTATTAATTCGAGGAACAAAAGATGCCCTCCAAAACAGCTCCGAGTCATTCATTTTATGCGATAAGCTCAACGGAGTCTTAACCCAACTCTCTAAGCTACTTGGTTCTGGTACGCACGGCAGAATTATTGGCTCAGACATAGCAACTACATTCTGCGGCCCTCCAGTATACCGGATCATGTACATACTAAAAAATGAAAACACAATACCTACACCTAAAAACAACAATAGGAACTGAAGTAACCTTAACTGTAAAGGCCTAGCTGGATTTGCTAATTTCATAATAGGGTCCTTCCCCCCTTCCTCCAATGTCCCGTGACTACCAACTCTAGATTGCATCTTTAAATTCGCTTCTCAAACAATTCCAACCTCCCCTTTAACTGTATATTACCTCTAAAAATCTGTTCTTGAAAATCCAGAGCTTTCCCAGAATCAGATTTCGTTTCTTCCAATTGACAATAGCACCTGCCAAATGAAAAAATTGGGTCCGGACATAAACACCTTAAAAGAGGAATAGAACAATGAAATCAGTTCCTCTTTTTCTTTTTCTCTGTCACCTCATGGGGCATTCCCTTTCCTCTTAATGGAGAAATCTCAACCGCAAACAGGAGAACTGGGACTTTTCCATCTCAAATAGGAGACAGCCCTCGAGCTAACTGTTTTGCCCAAAAAAAACTTTCAAACGGTACAGCAACAAATAAAGTTGTCAGATTTCGCAGCAGATTTTGTTGCTGAGATTGGAACGACAAATATCATGAGCTGAGGAAAAAATAAATGAGAATCTTGACGTGTGTCTTTTCATTTGTTTATTGGGATCATGTGAGTTGTTTGTTGAATGTGTTAAGAGGACGGACAAGGAGATGGGAATACGGTTTAAGGAATCAATTTATTGATGAAAGAAAGAAAGAATTAAAGACGTCTGAGAGCGAAAGATTCAACTGATTCTTGTTTTCACACTTTTTTTGCTTTGGAGCTTAATTTTCGGGCCAGAATTGTAATACGTGAGAACAGTAGTGTTTGAACAAGCATCTTTGATACTACTAGTTGGATTGAGGGGCTTATAACTTTATAAGACGTACTCCTGACCTTTACCAAATTATGCTGCCTGTTTTACAGTATTTTTTATTATTCATGATCGGTCATGGGGTGTTTGTACTTTGTGCTGCACCTCAAATTGCAAATGCGCTAATCAAGCTGTGCATATGATGATGGATGTGGAAAAAGAGAGTGGAAGAGACAGACAAATGCAATTGCAATCACCATTGTGGCCAAATTTCTTTTCATTTTTCCTTTTTGGTCTTCCTTTGGTGCTAGGAATTAGATCTTTGTTTTGTTTAATTGTAGTTAGGCCCTTTGATACTTCTCATGTTATATTGAGACCTCTTGGGGTTTGCATGTACCGATTATTAGAAGCTCGCAGTGCGAGTTTTTTAAAATGCTAGGCAGACAAATGTATTGGAAGCAAATTGATAATTGTAACGCATGTTCCTTTCTTTATTCAAAATAAGAAATTCAAATATTTCTTTGACGACATGTTCAATGTATTTTCCGTTACTAATGTAGCTTTCATGGAAGGAAATATTAAATGCTATAAAAAAAATCGAAAATATTTTAGAATTAAGTCACCTACTTTGTGGAGCTTGAAATAACTCCTACATTCATGATTGCTTAGGAAGTTATTATTCTCTATTTGGCATTCCAAAAAAAAAAAAGAGATTATTTGGGATAATTTTTCGGATATTAGAGTCTCATTTGATAAATGAGTTTTTTTTTGTGTTTGTCTAAAACTTTACTGTAACTTACTATAGAAGTCGTAAGAAAATTTTTTGAAACGTATTGTTTAAAAACTTTAAGACCTGATTATTAGCCTACTTGATATTTTTTTCCTTTATATGCACAAATTTAAGGCATAAATATAGATTAAGACTGAAATGACCATTAAATACCTCACAATTATTGCAAATGTTACCGCCACCTTCTTACCAAAACAGCCGTCTCCTTAGGGAAACTAATCATTATGTTTGGTTTACATTAAGGGCTAAATGGTTTCTTGCCTTATGATTTAAGTCTCTTCGAGTGTGCCTTAGAAGTTGGATATGCTACGCATAGGGCTAAGTTAGCCTGAATTTTGTGGAGTAATAAATGTTCTCAAATATTTGAGTTTGGTGCATAAAGTTGACAAAACAAATGGAGCTGAGTCACTTTTGCTTAAACATCACTTCTAATCACGATAAGCTAGCAGTTTATACCTATCTATAGTGCTTTTTTTTTTTGGGATGAGTTCTTAAAAGTAACAATTTTAATTTGAAAAGAAGTAGTAAATTTTCCACAATAATTTTAAAACAACAAATACAAAGAGAAAACTTGTAATTTATGAACAAAGCATTTTTTTTTTTTATAAGATTGCAATTAACTAATAGCTCATTAACATTACAACCAACACATAGACAGTGAAATAGTTATTAGCATATAGCTTACTAAATGATAATCACATTCAAACTCTTTAATTTGTAAAGCTCAATTTTTTTTTATTAACAATTATACTATGACGTCATTGACATCGACATGATTCTCAATAAGATAAAAGCGTTAATTAAATAACTAATGGTCCAGTGCACTACAAATTCTAGTCTTAGGTTATTGAATTATTTACAAGGTTGGACAAGCGTCTGGATCGTGGTCAACCTAGAATAACCTAGCTTTAAGTAGGCGGAAAAAAAAATTAAAAATGCAATTTTCTTAATGTACTGCCCTTATCGACATTCACACATAACGTACTCTATTTTTTTTTTTTTTTTCTGCAAGAGAGTAAAATGCAGTTTGGACACTTAAACTTTGACCCTTTAGCGATTCTGATATTCAAACTTTGGATGAAAACAAACATGGTACCTAATGTTACAATATTTAAGCACACTTAGTACATCTAATGGATTTTTTAAAAAAAAAAATTCCTAACATGTTTATATCTAATCGAAGAAATTTCAAATTCTTGCTACCACCTCTTCATGCAAAATTAATAAGTTTCACTAATTTTTCTTACGATTTCGTGGTTGAATCTACAAAGGTTGGATTAAAATAAGAGTCTCAAAGTTTTGCTCTTTTTTTCTTTGTGCTTGTTTACCGGGGGATATGGAGCGGAGAAGGGAATTTTGCGTGGGTATAATTAGCTCAATTGGGAATTTTTCTTAGGTTAATGTCCACGCTGTATTATTTATTAAACTCGCGCCTCGGTTGGCAGATTACTTTACAATTTTTTTGGAATTTTTTTACAACTTCATTGTTGCACATGTGATAACACGTGATTTTTTTTTTATATAGAAATTTTAAAAAATTCACCAAGTATATTAAATGTGTTCAAATATTGTAACATTGGATACCGAATTTATTTTTGTCGAAACTCAGACACTATAATCACTCTAAGATCAAAGTTTGAGCACTAAAACTGCATTTTACTCTTCCACCAAATATGCACTTTGCATTCGACTAATTGCAGCACACCATTTCTTAAATTTGAAGACTTGAGAAATACTGCTGTCAAAAAGCAAAAAGAAATTGCAGGGACTTGATTCTGTGGTTAAAACAAAAGAATTAAGAAAAACTATGTCATATTTTTTTTCTTTCCCTATGCTTTGAAATAAACTTTTCCAATCATATAGTTTGATAAACTCCTACACTTACCAACTTATATGTATATTTACTATTCACACTTATAAATTTGATGATTGTAGAATTATGTTTAGATTACTAAAATAGTAGTAGTGTGATTTTGTCCGTATCTTATAAATTAAGAGAATGGGTTGATAATGCCAAGTTTGAAGTTAGATCAATAATATTATTATTCTTTTTAATTCTCGATCAAAAAAGTATATTTAGTATCCGGATCACTTGTGCTATTAGTAAATGATGCTAGTAGCATTCATACGTTTCTCAGTCAAACAAATTTATTTATTTATGGTTAAAATTACATTTTCTACAATTTACATATCTTTTCCTGAAATTTAACTTACAAATGAATGGGAAGTTGTTGTATTTCTACATTTTTCTATTTTTGTGCTATGACAATATTATCCTCGAAGCAAAGTAAAATCTCCACCATACCCCACTCCATCCTCACATCGTTAATTCTCTTGCTACGTGACATTTTTGCCGCCTACTTTTCTGCCCAATTCTCAGGAGCCGCTGGTCCAGCAAAATGGCGGCGCTGCCTTCAGTCGGCGGACTCCGACACCTGAACTGTTTTCCGTGGCGTCAAAACTTCCGCCACGAAAGAATATTTAATCTTCCGTCGTCCTATCTCTCCACAGTCGCTTCACTGCCCTCTTCTTCATCAGTCTCTCCAAATGAAGACTCTGAAGAGATTCAATTCAGCACCCCTCCCATTAAAACAGCTAAGAAAACTAGTAATGGTAGCATAAATACGGCCGAGGAGAATGTCGATGCAAAAAATAAGACTGACAATGATAAGAAAGCTTCTTATTTTCCGAAGCGGGGGCAGACATTGGAGCTGGTTTGTGAAAACCTAGCTTTTAAAGGAAAAGGCGTGTGCAAAGTTGCCGACACAGGTTTTGTTGTAATGTGTGACCGTGCGCTTCCAGGCGAACGGTTCATCGGGCGTGTTACTAGGAAAAAAGATAATTATGCTGAGGTTCTTTCATTTACATTTCCTTTATCTGAAATTCAAATTGAATATTTTTCCCTTTCTAATTTAATTTTGTTTCATACGTTCATTGAGCAAATTTAGAATCCTCCTTCGTTGATTTCGTTTAGTGAAAGAAATGAATTTGCATTTTACGAAGAAAAGTTTTTGATTTATTTGCTTGACTTTTGAAGAATTAGTGACGAGTTTCACGTGTAAATCGTGGATATAATTCCTCAAATTGAGGATAATCTCATTGCTGTAGTTCCCCCCCACGCCCTTCTTCCCCCGGAAGCTTGTTGTTTTTTCCAATTGACAAGTATGAGTTGATAACGTTTTTGGGGCAATTAATTACCTGGTTTCTGTTTTCAAGGAGTTCAGGTTACCAAATTGAAGACAATAACACCTCACTTGGACTATGTGGAAGCTCCATGTGAATGTGCTGCATACTGTGGAGGTTGTAAGACGCAGAATTTGTTGTATGAAGCCCAGATAAGGGCAAAGGAGCGGCAAGTTCGTGAATTGGTGGTACATGTTGGCAAGTTCACCTTCAAAGACCCTGAATTCAATAGCATAATGAAGCCCATTGTACCCTGTGATATCCAATTTCATTACAGAAACAAGGTCTCTATTCAGCTCACTGTGGTTTGGACAATTATTGTTCTATTGCATTCTGAAGCTGTGTCTGAAGTTTCAATTTGTCTTCCATTCATTCAAAATTTAATGGCAAGATAAATCTTGCTAGCATTTAAACTCTCATTGTGTTATATATGGTTAAATGCATTTACATGTCAAGAAGACCATTTTATCTTGTTTATTTCTCTAGCTAAGGACATATTGCATGCTTAATTTTGGCTTCTGATTGAAGAATTGGCTTAATATTTTTACCTCGGAAACTGTGCCCAAGAACATCTATTATTATTAGAAACCATAAACACGTAGACAATTGTAAAAAGGATTTTGCATGGGTTTTCATCGTTGTCGCATTTCTGATCCCTCTGATGATCTCTTTTATATTTATGTTTATTTCCAATCTGAAAGCATGTCAATAACAAATGCTAGCAATTTTGCCTTCTTTGCTGTTTAAGTGCAATTATCTTATCTGCTGCCAGAATTCATAAACTTTGGAACTGTCTACATGTATTATGGTAGTCCTTAAAGGATAATGATGAAATGATTGTTTGAGCGATTGTTTTTCCTTCTCCTTGTGGTTGATTTTGCAGATGGAGTTTTCATTTGGGCCCAAGCCTTGGTTACCCCGAAAGTTGCTGGAAGAAGGATATGGTGACTCCCACAGCTATGCTTTGGGACTTCATGCTCCCGGCTTTTTTGATAAGATATTGAATGTGCACAAGTGTTTATTGCAGAGTGAAGCAGCAAATAAGGTAGGTTGTTTGTCGATTGATTTTTTTGGTGGCAGTTTCTTGCTGGTAGAAACATTTTATAGGCTTCAAGTATACCGTTGTTTTTCCTTTGAAGTTTTATCACAGTATTTTTTATGTTTATCTGTCTCGAAAAACAAAACTTATCATGTTGTGGAGGGTTCTACTTTCTCAAGTAAACCTGGATTTGCTAGTTTGTTTTGACTTAATTTGAATTTCTCATCATAGGTTCTTGCAGCTGTGCAAGCTATTTGGAGGGATCCAGGATCGGGCCTTTCACCTTATGACGTCCACTCTCATACTGGTTTTCTGAAGCATCTAATGTTGAGAACTGGAAGGTACTCATGCCTATGCCATTCTTGTTCGCTGATGTTTAATTTTGTGTTTTAGCAATTGACTGGGTTGAATTTCACATTTTTCCGCTTGCAACATTAGAGAGACTAGTGAATTTGCAAAAATCACTTGAATTTTGGAGTAAAACTTCAAGAAGTTGGTCTTGCATGTAGGTGGTGGGAGAATATGATGCAACATCATGAAAAGAAAGCATAGACTTGATCAATTTTCAGAAGTAACTAGAACTTAGACATGAAAAATTAGAGCCACAGAGTTATCTGATTATTATGATGAGGAGATGTTGAGACTTAGACTCCCTGCAACCCATCGTTAATGTCATGCTTCACCTTTTTGGCTGTCCCAAAGTCTTTTAATGTGTCAAAAATTAGAACATAATTTTGCCAGAGCCGCCCTCTCTTAAAGTATTGGAAATGCCTATCCATTAAAGTAGGAGCCGCAATAGAAAAGACAAAAGGAACTTCGGCACGTTTATGCAACTACATTTATCTGTGAAGGTTTCAGTCCAGAAAAGACAAAAGGAACTTTGAAAGAGGTTTGCAATTGTGAACTCGTAGCCGAGGGTAAATTTGAAATAGAAGGAATCTGTCTACTAATTGTTTGAAATCTAATTTTTCAGTTTTCAGTTTTGGTCAATTGGATGTTCAAGTTTATAAACATGTTATGCCTGCATTGGAAGCAGCAGCAAAATATTGTTCTTCAAGTGTACAATGTTCTGAGAGAGAAAGATCGGTGTTTCTTCATCATGTTGTCCATTTGTGTTGTTTCCCTAGTCTTTCATGAAGATCATGTTCTGATATCTGCATTGCACTATGAACTTCAAATTTCTTCTCTCTGAATGTGGTGCCAAATTCACTACTGCTATTGAAAAGACTAAGCTGTTGAATCTTTTTCATTCAGGAATGTGGAAACTGGCCTTCCTGAGCTGATGGTGAATTTTGTCACCTCTTCATACAAGCCAGAGTTGTTGAACTCAATTGTGGAGAAAACTGTGACAATACCTGAAGTGGTTAGTTTAAATAAGATTCAATTGTCCTCTTGATACTTAGTTTTGCGGAAAAACTTTCAATAGTGACTTCTTAAACAGATAGTGGTACAAGTTAATGTTCAGAGTTTATTTTACTGGACTGGAGATAATGCAAAACAGTAGATCTTCCAGTGATGAATTCTTTGCTGCCCTCCCATTCCCCCCTTTCCTAACACCCCAACCCCTCAAAAAAAAGAAAAGAGATGTTGATGTTCCTATGGTGTGCTGATTTGTGAGATTTGGTTTTGCAATTAGATAAGCAACAGTTAGGCTTCTGCCATACATGCAAGCACATGTGCATATGTGGGTAAAATCTTTACTTAACTACATAACAGAGTTAGAATCCTCTGAATATTTATCTTGTATTGTTGGGCTGTATCCATCTGGTTATTATTCTGTTGATTTACAGGCAAGCATTGTGAACAATGTAAATACTTCCATAGGCAACACATCTGTGGGGGAGGTGGAATACACACTTTATGGCAAATCTACTATAACAGAGGTTTTAAGAGGGCTTGTATTTCAGATTTCTGCAAATTCTTTCTTTCAGACAAATACATACCAGGTATGCTTCGGCAAGGAACAATGTCCATTGTTTGCTTACCCAGGGAAAAAATTAAAAATATTACAAGCTTTTTTTTGCTCGTCAAACCCCAATCTCCTTTCTATTTGTCCTTATAAGTTCTCATGATTACAAGTGCTGAATATATCAGGCAGAGGTATTATACAAACTAATCGAGGATTGCGCCTGTCTCAGAGGAGATGGCTCAGAAATTGTCCTTGACCTTTTTTGTGGGACAGGAACCATTGGACTTACACTTGCAAGAAGGTAAAATCATTTGTCCTTCTATGGAGAACTCTGATGTTTACTATCTGACTGTCCCCACTACTGATTCTGATTCCATTTGGTCAGGGTAAGATGTGTTTATGGTTATGAAGTAGTCCCTCAGGCTGTCTCAGATGCACGTCGGAATGCCGAACTAAATGGCATATACAATGCAACTTTTATTGAGGGGGATCTAAATAAAATTGATGAGCAATTTGGAAATGATTTTCCCAAGCCTGACATTGTTATTACAGGTACTTTTATAGCATGCATGTTTTACTTGCTACCTATGCTTCAAAGAGGTAAAAATATAATTATGAATTGATATTGGAATGAACTGCTGGGCTTGAGTTTAAGTAAATGGGTAAACAAAATCAAGTGAAAATAGGAAAACGTTTTGTAAGGTTGACTGGACTGAGCAGTGCCTGAGAGTGACCTTCAAATGACTCTTTCTTCTCCTTTTCAGTTCATTGTTTTCATTTTTTGCTTTTCAAAATTTTCCAGCTATCAAGACTTGATTTCTTATGGTATTGGTGAGCAAAGTAAGTAACTAATCAGGAGAAAATGCAGAGCAGACCAAATGAGGACACACTGATGAAGTTTTATCCACTTATTCTCTTTAAGCATCTGCAATTCAACTTTGCTGGATTTTGCTTAGCTAACTAAGATTTTCAACATGCCATTGAAGATGCTCTGAAACAAAGTTAATTGAGCAATTTAGAGGCTTCTTAAGTCTGCAAACAAAGTGATAATACTGATCCATTGATCTCAGCAAGAAATTAGATTTACCACACGCTAGCTAGCCAATTGATTGTTGTGATTCTTCTAAAATTAAAGCAGCTTCTTCACCTCTTCCTGGCGTAGTAAGCCAGACTGCTTCTCACGTGTGTTGAGTAAAACTTGCAGACCCCAATCGTCCGGGCATGCATATTAAATTGATTAGATTTTTGCTCAAGCTGAAGGCAAAGCGAATTATTTATGTGTCATGCAATCCAGCAACATGTGCTCGTGACCTCAATTATCTTTGTCATGGTTTGGTAAGTAATGCTTATTGTTGAAGTTGTAAAAACTGTTTCCATCTTTTGAGGCGTTTTGAAACTTTTATTTTTTTATTTTTTACCAGCCAGATCAAAATATAAGAGGTGTCTACAAATTAAGTAGCATACAGCCAGTGGACATGTTTCCGCACACTCCTCATGTTGAATGTGTTTGCTTGCTGGAACTTGATGATTAATCGCGTTGTAAATTACATTATTCCACTGCTACATCTGGAGCAAGCTTTTTCTGTCTTTTGGTACTGCTCTTTCTGAGGTTTAGCTTGCCTCGTAGTTAATCACTGCAGAGGTTCCAGAGGTCTTGGAGAATATGACCTCTTTGTCCTGAAAAGAAGTTCCACTGAAGCTTTCAAGGTGTGAAACAGAATTCCTGTCAACGCTTCATTTCCATCTGCTAGTAACAGACGTGAGGTTGGACGCAATTCTACAGAAGGAGAACAAATTTGAGATCCTGTTGGTAGAAAAGGAAGCAAAAAATTAAGTGTATCTGTACTGTAATTTAGGGTCTGAAGCCTGGATTGATAAACGAAGCATCAATTGCATTCTTTCAGGGTTTTAACACAACCGCTAACAAACAAAAGAAGCAAAAGAACAAGTATACAAGCAGTCTTTGAAGTTGGATGTAATGCCTAAATAGGGAAGGGAATGTGAGCCTATTAAAAGTGAAGGAAGCAAGATATGGAAAAAAATCCAACTGGTTCTTGCATGAGTGTATATGTACAGTTTATAACCTTGGATTTTATATAGGGATTAACAAACCAAAATCCTTTGCATTCTGTTAGGGACACAATCTTTGCAACGTTACTCTGACAATAGGTGGTTTAAATTTAATTTATGAACTACTCCTGCTGTTTCTTTTCTTCCTGGATGGACTGGAAAATGCGAGCTGCAGATTCAGATGCAGACTTGGGATTGTAAGGCACGACCTTGATCACTTGTATTTGTTGCTCATTATTGTTATTCTGGATGGGGTGTTTTGACCTTTGAAGTGTAGGTGTCATGGGGAAAAGAGACAGCTCATCTGCTTGGACCCTCTCATTAAGATTGCTAGCAGTACTGCCCGGAAAATCACTGCAGCTTTTCGAAACCTGCATGATTCTAGTAGAATCAGTCATGATCCCAGTTCTGTGGCTCGTAATGGCATCTAAGCTTCGATATGGAATAATGTAGTTGATGTCATACGTTGCAACACGATGATTATCCGGCCTACTAGAGCGGCCTGTGACAAAAGGGCTTGTCTGCTCGGCGGCTGAACTTGAATTTTCTGTGTTCATCACTGGCAGAGCATGTGGTTGAAAGCAGCAGGAGCGACCAAGTGAAGCTGGGATACCGTAGGCTGTACAATTGACATGCTCTGCGTCCATTCTAGTTAAGCACATGGTGCCACAACCACCATAAATTGGTGCAATGCAACCAAGAGTTGGCGGGCAAGGTCCTGCATAGGGCTTGTAAACAAGTCCTTCGGAAGGTGACTTGACAGGAATTAACCACTGGTTCCCCGGGGGTGCGGGGAAACACCAAGGTCCAAATTTGGCTTCAATTGCAAAAGTCATTGGTGTTACTCCTGAATATGGTTTGAGAGGGGACTTTGGAGTATCATATCGATTCTCAGTTTCATAGGCTGGAGGAGGCAGCTTTCCATGTGCTTCCTCTGCTACATGGTCCAAACAGGGTTTGGGATTTAGAGCATCAACTTTTGGTTTAAGAAATAGAGATGGTAGTTCTGGAAAATTCTGCAGCTGGAACTTCTTTTCTGGAGAGCGGTCGATGGAAGGCTTGGTGAAGATGACACTGTCTTCAAAAAACATTTCTGGTGATCCAGCTATCAATCTTTGTACCTGGATATCAACTAAATAGTTATTCTAGCATATCCTTTCCCACGGTTTCATAAAGATCCACGACGAAAGCTTTCTTGTGTGCATACTTAATTACGTAGCATCTCAACTAGGTAGAAGTAGCAAAGACCAGCTCACCTTTATCAGTCTATGTAACTCGAATATTTGCAGTGCAAAGATCCTTTGTTGACTGAAAATATCATAAAATGTAATTAGGCTAATGTTAAAGAAGGTGCAAGAGCTTCTAATAGAAAGGGATTGGTAAGGGAAGTGCGGAGAGAGAAGAAAAAAGGTAGTAGGGGTGTCTCTAAATTAAAAAAAAAAAAATTATTTATGCCAAAGATGAACAGCAAAATTAGTATATAGAACATAACCATAGATGGTTTCACAAAGGAAAAAGCTGCCCGGAAAAAAAAATGTTCAGACTGGTAGTCCGGAGACTTTTTAAAAGATTTATTTGCAAAATCTTCAGTTTTTTAACATTGGAACACAGAGTTGCACAGTTGAAGGGAATGGAGAACCACTAAAATACATAATAAGCTTTTGCATGCTTCAAAAGACATCATCGCAGGTTTCAACTCACAGAGTTCTTATAGCACAAACTTGAGAATGAATTCCTGAAGGCCGAAGCATATTGGATGAATCTTATGAGATAAATAAAGGAAGGAATGCCATACGAACATGGACATGTCAATAATGAAAGCAACAAGATATCCAGAATCATGCAGACGAGGTGTTGTCTTCTCCTAAAATGACAGAATTTCTGCATTTGAAGTTCTCGAGCAGTAGCTCAGAAGAAGATTCAACACTACTTACTGAGCAATGGTTCTTCTAGCACTCCAGAAAAACTTTGGACCTATCATTCCCACCACATCATCAGGAGATACATGTAAACCTGATTTAGAATCCATCACCGAGTTGTCTGAGATGGCAATATGTCTTGCATCATTTCCTACACGTGATGCACAATGATTACCTTTAGGACGCTCATTGACAGATTCAAGCCTCTTTGGAATTCTGTTATTTTCTGCAGTTGGTGGACTGGAACATGATAGAGATTCCTGCGACGAAAAACTTCTCTTCCTTGAGTGCCTTTCAGGATTCTTTGAGATATTGTCATCTATATCAGTGCCTATCGGCAAATTTCTGCACTCTTGATGTGCTTGAGCACAGGTAATATGCGACGTGCTTATATCATTAACCAAGTCATTTGTCTTTGCATGGTTTATAGGTGCAACTGCTCTTCTACCAGACCCACAAGTTCCATATACTGCTACAACACTTGGTGCTGTATCTACCAAAATATTCTCTTCTGTGAATTGATCAGGAAGTTTTTCAAAATTGCCATCACTCACCTCAGATACTTTAAAGCTAACTTCAGCTTGATTTCTTGGATGTTCCCTCGACTTGGCATCATTTATCCCCATCTCCATCTCTTGTCTTTCGAAAGTAGATTCAGGTTTCCCTGAAAAGCCCAAACTTGAAGAACTGACTTTCTCTTTCTGCATCTTAAATCCAACACTGCTACAATTGAAAGTCTTCTCTCTTTGGTCAGAATAGGGAATTCTAATGTCATCCTTATTCCCATCCTTCTTAGCGAAAGAGGTAATGGAGTTGAAGAAGTCGCATGGCCTAAACAATGTATACTCAGCTGTCATTTTCAAAGGCTTTCTAGCACTAAATGATTGAAAATTGCCAGAACTCAGTATCTGGAGTTCAGAATATTTTGTGTTTAAACTCATCCCAGCAGAAGAATTAGACTTAAGTCTCTCGGCCATATGCGAACACTTAGGCGAGCTGCAGAACAATGAAACCTACAACAGGTGTGAACAATGTGAGGAAGAGGGAAATATTTTTATTAGGACTGTTATTCTGCAAGCCATACTAATTACAAATAATTCTTCAAACGCACTCCTTGATGAATTTAGTATCTAAAAATGATGTATGCAGGGTTACAAACAACATGTTTTTGCAAATATATTCTATACCCAAAAAAAAAAAATTACATTTTGTCTCTCTTCAGTAGGAATCCAGTAGGTGACTCGGAGATGGTATATTTGATTTAACATATTACTCAACTCGATTACTTCTAATGGCATAACAATGGATTAGGTTACAAATGTAATAGCTGTTGATAATTTCAGGCTCAAGCAGATATAATGACTCGCTCCTTTTAATAACAGCATAAGGTCCATCGGGTTCTACTTCCAGAATTATAAAGATCAAACCAAATATTACACTGATTAAACTTCCCTCCAAACATACTGCACAGGTTTGAGGAGCAAAGATGGGCAGCTGACCACGACTACCATCATCCCCTCCTTCAACTCCACAGTAAGCCGAAACCGACCTTCTCTTGCAACTCCACCAACATGGGCATGGGTGGGTGAGAGGAGACGACCAGGCCAGATATGCAGGAGGGAAAAGAGTGGAGAGACTTTGGTAAAGGGAGAATGAAGGAGAGAAGGTTGAGAAAAGAAGGGAAGAGGAAATAAAGAACAATTCGATTTCTAAAATACTTCCCTATGTATGGAATCCAAATTAAAACATCAATATTTATTCATGTTTAATGATAAAGTACTTCATTTTTGCAAACAGCCGATGCTGCACATACTACATACCACATAGCAGATGATTTGTTTTACTCACAAGTCTCAACACGATAACTACTACAAACACATTGAGGGAAGATATGAATAACTTCTCGGATAATGAAATCAAGAATACAGAAAAGAGCAGGACAACTTTTCCATATATAGCTGGAAATGCTAAAGTTATTGGAAATTATGCTAAAAACCAAGAAAAAGTGTATTGCATGGTCTAGAATTAATGTGATTCAGGGGCAAGAAATTTCAATTCATATGGCATAGACTCCATTACAACCCAAATTACCACTATGAGCTTTAAAGCGTTGACATTGAAATGGAGAATTCAAACTCAAGAGGAGAAAAAATGCCTGTTTTGAAGTCCCAACTCACATGATTCAGCAATGGAGAAGCATCCGAGTTGGTTCTAGTGCGGGAAGAAAGCGTCCTCAGTGACATCGATCCAGAGGAAAACCTCTGAGAAGGTGCATTAACTTGTTCACAGAGAGCCATCTTGTTTCTCGGAGGTGCTCTGGGTCCTATTCCCTCTGCGTCATTAATATGTAGCCTTGGAAATAGAGGATCCATCTGCTTCTTTTCATCTTTCCCACCTCTCATTCTCCTCCTCGTTTTTTCTATTTTTCCAGCACGCAATATACACCCATCTATCAAACTCAGAACATGATCTCATGCTCATTGGAAGTTTCCTACTTAAAAGAATCCAAATTTGTCAAAAAGAAATTAAAAAATCCACTCCCTGATTAGCCCATCTCAAAAGAACACTTATTTTGATCAAAACAAAAGTAACAAGAATGAAAACTTGAATATGAAACTAATTGGAAAGGATACCCAAAAAAAAAAAAAATCAAAGCTTGTAACAAGAATACCCCAGCTTGCACTTGGTAAAATAAAAATCTTGCCAGCAAAGAAGTGAAAGGCAAAGCAAAATAGCACGTGAAAATGTGTCAAATGTATAAGTTGAACAGAAATGCTTGGCAGTCCGAAAGTGAGGATGCCTCAGTAAAGTGTGTCAAACCAGATCTTTTAAATCAAGGACAACGCTGCAAATGTAAGTGCTAGTAGCACTAGTACATTGGTTCATTCAATGGTCTAGAAAATATCGTGGGGTAAAGAGAGAAAGTAGAGGGCGGGGGTAAGAGACGAAGAAGTACAGGTGGTCAAGAAAGATAGATAGATTCAGCAAGAGAAAAGGGTGGCCTCAGAATCTGTAAAGATTGCATCATCATCATCATCAAGGACAAGAAAAAAAAAAAGCGTAAGAAAGAGAGAGAGAGAGTGAAAATAGCAAAAGAAAGGGGTGGGGAACGTAGGTCCGACAGCGAGATAGAGGGAAAAGATGGCGTTGTTATTTGTCAAGCCATCGAGAAACCTTAACTGAGCATTGACAGTTGACTGTGACTCAGTCCCCCTCTGTCTCTCTCATCCCATATTCCCATGCATATGCATCGCTGTTCCGTCCGGCTACACTTGCCGAAACACTTGCCTCGCTGCTTTACGTACATCAGCTCACTTACCAGTCCTACGTTTTGTGAGTTTGGGCATTTTTCTTCAGCATTAATCGTCTGTTTATTACCAAAAACTAGGGGTGGCAATTCGGGTCCAAATCAGGTTGGCGGGTCGGGTTTGGGTCAACTCGTCAGAAAATCTGTTGACCCGAACCCGACCCGCCAACCCGTGACGGGTCAGGTATGCTGATCCGAACCCGAAAATTTCAGGTTGACAGGTCGACCCGAAATGACCCGAAACTTAATTTTAATTTATTAATTTATCACTGTAATTTCTAATAAAATCAATTTCTCACAAAACTAATTACATAATCAAGTAATAAAAATTTAAATAAATAATTCCAAACCAAATCTAAAATAAATTAAACACCGTAAAAGTGTTTTATCCCAAACAAAATATAAAATAAATTAAAACAATATAAAAGTAAAAAATAATATAATATATTATTTGTCCAAATATAATAATTTCAACTTCACACAAATTAAATAAATTCATTTAGGATTAAGTAATTAATGCCTTTGAAAAAAAGAATAACTTAGTTTAGTTAGATAAAATTATTTTTATATTTATTAAATTATTTTTAATTCGTAAACGGGTCATATCGGGTCATATCAGGTCACCACGGGTTGACCCGAAATCGACCTGTTTTCTTTTCGGGTTCATCGGGTCCAACCCGATTCTGACCCGAATTCCCGAAACCTCAACCCAAACCCATTAATTTCGTGTTAGGTTCGTGTCGTGTTTTCAAATCGTGTCGAAAATTGCCACCCCTACCAAAAACATCCGTTGATAAACTTGAGAAGTGCCCCTAAGTTTTTCCCTTAATTTCTACACTTAGCTGCTTGCAGTCCTGCACCAATTTTTTCTTGAAAAACATATTTTTGCCTAAAGGTTTGGCATTTCCCTGTCAACCTGTCTTCCAGTGAGATTTGGAACCCCACAAATACTAGTTCTAACCAATTGTGTAAATCTAACTAATAGGTATAAACTTGTATAATTTCAGTATAATTGACTTTTAGTTATATGAGTTATAAACTCAAATTTTACGTCAAACATTTTGTCAGTTTACAGCACGTGGACAAATGCTATAAGAATTTATACAATCAATTTGAACCAAATAACAATTCAATTTGTGAGACTCAGAATCCCTCGTGGCACCTAGTGTTATAAAATCATGGATTTGTAATATCACTAAGATAGAAGTATCAGATTGGAAAAAGAGATGAATTGGATGATTCGAATAAAAAATTGTAAGCAAGACATTTCGAGTTCAAATTTTGACGCTTATACCTCAAAAAAAAAAAAAAAAAAAAGGGGTATCAGGTGAAATTTTGGAAGTTTAAGCAGAATTGTACCACTAGAAATTCAAAAGCTTTTCCATGAGTGTCTTGGGTCTAAAAGTTACTCATAGCTCTAAAAGTTTAATAAATTATATTTTTCACATGCTACATTATTGTTATTATTTATTAGTCTAAATATTGTTTCTTTGCAAACCAAAGGTGCGTTTGGAATAGTTATTTTTGGGGGTGTTTTTGAAAAATTTTACTATAACAGAGTTTTTATACTATATTTTAGAATATTTTTAGAAAATATTTTGAGATATTTAAGAGTAGAAGAGTTTTTAGAATATATTTTGAAATATTTTTTAAATATTAAAAAAATTTAGACTACTTTTTAGAATACCTTTTAAAATATTTTTAAAAATTTTAATACTATTTAAAAAACTCAGCAATCCAAACAGAGCCCAAATTCAAGGAAGTATTAAATGAAATAAGCTGGCGGCTGAAGCGCGCAAGTTTTGATTGGATACCCTGCGCTGCACTAAGTAGAACACAACTTGCACAGGCACTCCAACTTTGAGAGTTAAGGACCAACCGAGTTTGGTTTTGGAGACATTTTCTTAACCCGTCAGAGATGTTTCTCAAACACGTGGGCTTAAGAACAGATCGTTATTTAGACCTTGGGCTCTGCATTAAATAACATGCAATGTAAATGTGGGCTCTGCTTAATGACTTGATCTTAGCTTACACCAGAACATGGGGAATTTGGCAAGCTTTCTTAATCGTGCCCCTGTTGTAAAATTTGTGCTCTTGGACTTACCGCTGGTGAGAGCCAACACGTCAATCCAAATCAGACCCAAAAATTTAAATGGATCAAATTTCTTGACCCGAACCAACTGGTTAATTTCACGGGTCATCCGAATCCAATCTGAAAAAACTCGTTTGCTTAACTGTTTTTTTTTTTTTTTACTTTCTCACTTTGGTAGTATGGTGGTTTTTTTTTCTTTTATAATGGAGTTTCCATAAGAATATAGAAAATTGCAGCCCAATCTTGTAATAATTTTTTGATTTTTCTTTTTGTACAAAAAAAAATCATGAACAAAAACAAAACTACTACACTTTCACAAATAAAATACATTATTTTTGCATAATATTCATGATTCCATTCTCGTAATACTAATTTATAACCTTAGTTAGTTTTTTTTATTTATTTTATGCCTATAATTTATTATTAAATTATAAAATTACATATTAAATGGGTCAACCCGTGTTGACTTGAATTTGACATATTTGCTTAGCAAGTCATTCGAGTCGTGTCGAGAAACTCCACCCTTAGCCTAGCCAGGAGGTTGAGATCCAACATTAACCTTTTTGGTTTTTACCATTTGACAATTTGGAGTTGGATCATCAGTGGGTTGAACTTGAGGTCTCATGATGGATATTTTTTTGGAGTTGGGTTAGCAACGATTAAAGAATACAGTCCAATAATCAAACATTAGTGGGCTAGATTCAACCGCGCCGCTGATGGCTTTAAACTGGACGGAATGCACAAATTAATGTGACGTTTTTTTTTAACCTGGACCTACAACTAAAAAGTTTGGGCACGAAACTTATGATCCATCATCTCCGTATTTTGGACTTCTTCCAGTCTCCGAATTTAACATGGGACCCGACCCGACAACATCCTGGGAGAGTCAGAGAGAAGGCGGGAGAGAGTGTGTGGGAGAGGGAAGTTCCCGCTCACGCGAATCTGCTTCACTGCAAGCCGTAAGGCGTAAGGCGAGGCCGGGCAAAGGCACCCAGCATTCTCTAATCTTTACAGCACAGGTGGCCTCAGCCCAACTACTGCTTCGGTGTCGTCTGATGTGATTGTCAGGGTTTTAATGCGGCGATATGGGATAGGAAATGGGGTGAATTAATACACAAACTAATTACTACTACTTACTTAAATTCTTCTTTCGTCCACATTGCCATTCTCTTTGTGCTATGACAATATTATCCTCGAAGCAAAGTAAAATCTCCACCATACCCCACTCCATCCTCACATCGTTAATTCTCTTGCTACGTGACATTTTTGCCGCCTACTTTTCTGCCCAATTCTCAGGAGCCGCTGGTCCAGCAAAATGGCGGCGCTGCCTTCAGTCGGCGGACTCCGACACCTGAACTGTTTTCCGTGGCGTCAAAACTTCCGCCACGAAAGAATATTTAATCTTCCGTCGTCCTATCTCTCCACAGTCGCTTCACTGCCCTCTTCTTCATCAGTCTCTCCAAATGAAGACTCTGAAGAGATTCAATTCAGCACCCCTCCCATTAAAACAGCTAAGAAAACTAGTAATGGTAGCATAAATACGGCCGAGGAGAATGTCGATGCAAAAAATAAGACTGACAATGATAAGAAAGCTTCTTATTTTCCGAAGCGGGGGCAGACATTGGAGCTGGTTTGTGAAAACCTAGCTTTTAAAGGAAAAGGCGTGTGCAAAGTTGCCGACACAGGTTTTGTTGTAATGTGTGACCGTGCGCTTCCAGGCGAACGGTTCATCGGGCGTGTTACTAGGAAAAAAGATAATTATGCTGAGGTTCTTTCATTTACATTTCCTTTATCTGAAATTCAAATTGAATATTTTTCCCTTTCTAATTTAATTTTGTTTCATACGTTCATTGAGCAAATTTAGAATCCTCCTTCGTTGATTTCGTTTAGTGAAAGAAATGAATTTGCATTTTACGAAGAAAAGTTTTTGATTTATTTGCTTGACTTTTGAAGAATTAGTGACGAGTTTCACGTGTAAATCGTGGATATAATTCCTCAAATTGAGGATAATCTCATTGCTGTAGTTCCCCCCCACGCCCTTCTTCCCCCGGAAGCTTGTTGTTTTTTCCAATTGACAAGTATGAGTTGATAACGTTTTTGGGGCAATTAATTACCTGGTTTCTGTTTTCAAGGAGTTCAGGTTACCAAATTGAAGACAATAACACCTCACTTGGACTATGTGGAAGCTCCATGTGAATGTGCTGCATACTGTGGAGGTTGTAAGACGCAGAATTTGTTGTATGAAGCCCAGATAAGGGCAAAGGAGCGGCAAGTTCGTGAATTGGTGGTACATGTTGGCAAGTTCACCTTCAAAGACCCTGAATTCAATAGCATAATGAAGCCCATTGTACCCTGTGATATCCAATTTCATTACAGAAACAAGGTCTCTATTCAGCTCACTGTGGTTTGGACAATTATTGTTCTATTGCATTCTGAAGCTGTGTCTGAAGTTTCAATTTGTCTTCCATTCAT